TTATAGTTTTTAATTTGGAAATAATGTATTTAATTAATAGAGTTTAAATTAAATTAAATAATTGCTTTCTTTATAGTTCTAATGTAGAACAAAACCCACTTAATTAGCAAAAGTTAATCTGCATGAAGTTCAGGAAAAACAAAAACCAAATAAGGTATATGGTAGGAGAGTTATTATCACATTCAAGATAAAATTAAAAAATTGGACAAGATTTTATTTAAATGATAATGGAATAACATACAGAAAACTATTCTCTTTGGCTTTGACTTCCAATCAGCAAATTTTTTTTTTTTAATTTTCTTCGTAGAAATTGGCATTTGATCAAAAAAAAAAAATAGTGATGGGTATCCCTTCCTTCAAACTTGACCTTTGATAAGTAAAATTTTTCTTTTTCTTTAATATAATTGTGTACATTATGTTAATTGTGTAAGTTAATTGATTTTCTTTTATAAATAACACAATAAGTCATGTGCAACGTAGCGATCAAGAAGCTAGATTTTATAAAAATTTCACACCCTAAGGCCCAAGCCATATTTATATAATAATATAGATTATTGTTACTTCTATTTTTTACAAGTTAGAGTAAAAAAATGATGAGGGATTAATTAACACGCATACTTTTGTCCTTTCAGGAAAAAATATATAAAAGCAACTGATCATATGAACGATTTTTTTTTTTTTGCAAACATTTTATAATTATTTGTAAAAAATTTTAAAATTATTATTATTATTATTAGATGTGATTTTGGATCACACAATAAGAGATAAACCTCTCTCATCTCCTAAAATTCTTGTACATACCCCAAAATTCGAGAGTGAAATAATCTCAAATTCCAAATGCTGGGATGTCACCATCAGCGTATAGTATTGCAATCCCCATGTAGCTGTCGACTAGCTTTTAATGTTGCACCTCTAAATAATGCATCCAACGCTTCAAATCACAATCCAAATCTCAATCCCTAAGGACAAACAAGCAATGAATGATCAACAATGAAAATAAAGTATCTCTAAAACACAGCACGAATCAATGAACAAAACGAAAAATGAAAAATTCTTGATGTATTTTATTTTTTAATGATATATTTGATTAGTTGATTGTAATGATGTATTGAAATTGATTATTAGTCTTATTTTAGCCTTAGGAGAGATTATTTTTGTTTTTCATCCTTCATACTTTGATTTAGGTTAAAATCTCTATGGGATTTTAAAAATTATTAATTGAAAATAAGCCATGTAAATTGGTTCTATGAATTTATTTAGCTATAAACATTAATATGTCATCATCCCCAAATGTCCTTTCATTTTCATATTGGTTTACTTCACTGTATGAGACTTGTATATGAATGTTAGTGCTTTAATTGCAGGTTGTTGAAATTTATTTTGATTTCATATTATTATTTTTACATTACGGGTGTGAATATATGAATTTGGTTTTTGATAGCAATGTAATATGATTTTCTATTGTTTTTAGTTTTAGTGCATTAATTGTAGGTAGTTGAAATTCTGATTTGCTTCACATCATTGTTCTTACATTTATTTATGGTTTTGAAAATAAGCATGGTTTTTGATAATTACGTAATATGTATTGGATTGTTTTTAATGTCTGGTGTTTTAATAGGTAGTGTTGACGATATTTTTGGTGATGATAAAGTGGAGCTTAGCAAGATGGTAAGGTGGATGAAAATTGGATCTGCAGCAATACGTATCCGATTATTTTGCGCTTCTTGAAAAGAAAAAAAAAAAAAAACTCGGTTACCTTGTAGGGTCATTAGGATCAGTTATTATTGTTTATAAGTATGGGAGCATTTTAACTATAATTTTTTTATTATAATATTACAATTGTTTAATCATAATTAAGAATTTTGTGAGGATCTATCACTTATAAGAGTGGACTCCATATAATATTTTGGTAGAATCTACATAACTCTAAATCTGATTGTTTAATTGTAATACAATTATTGTAGGTGATATGTTATTTATAAGTATGAATTTCATATAAAATTTTGATCAATCTCACATGTATAATTATGAATTGTAATTGATTAGTTGTATTAAAATAATTATAAATGATACGCATCCAATTTTGAGGGAAAGAAAATGTATAAATTCACTCATTTTCTTTCATATGAAACGAAATAAATGATGAAAAGAAATAATTTTTCTTTTTTTTTTCCCCTCTTTTCTCCTACCAAACACAGTTTTAACGCCATGCATTTAAACGTAATCCCTTTAAATGTGGACTTGCTTTTAATGTTCAACCTCTAAATAATGCATCCAACCTTTCAAATTGCAACCCAAGACCTAACTCCCCCCTATTCCCATCTGCATTTAAAGGGACTGGTTTTATATGCATGGCGTTAAAACTGTGTTTTGTAGAAGGAAAGAGGAAATAAAGCAAAACTATTTCTTTTCATCATTTCTTTCATTTCGTATGAAGGAAATAAGAAAATGAAAGGAAAATGAGTGAATTTGCACACTTATAAGTGATAAACCAATTATAATTCAAAATTGTGGGATCTATAAAAAATTTATATGAAAACCATACTTATAAATGATAAACTCTTATAGAATTTTTTATTATTATTGGACAACTATAATATTATAGTACAAAGAATTATAAATGATATATTCTCCATAGATTGAGTATGAATGTGAGAGTTAAGTTTGCATATAGTTAAGTTGATTAATTAATTAATTTTCATTATTTTTCCAGTATACTTTTTAATTTTGATTTTAATTAATTGATAGAGTTCTAATATAGAATAAAAACCACTTAATAAGTAAAAGCAATTTATTGAGGTTTAACGAAAAAAAATTCCATAAATAAGATTTATGGTAGGAGAGTCATTATTAATTTGAAGATAAAAAATGGTAAAACTGTTTTTAAAAGTTAATGGAATAACATAAAAAATTATTTTTTAGAAAACTAATTACCGTACACAAACTTTTATTAATATTTCATTTTCATAATGATTCTTAAAAATTTCATGCAACGATCTTTCAGAAGATTTTATTTGGGATTGTTTTTAATGTTAGTGTTTAATAATAGGTTGTTGAAATTTTTGCCTGCTGTCTGATTATTAGTTTTAGATTAAGTGAATGAATGCAAGTTTGATTAATTAATTTTCTCCAATGGTTAGTAAAAACTGGCATTCGATCAAAAAAATTAGTGATGCCTATTCTTTCTTAGCACTTGATCCTGAATAGTAAACTTTTTGCTTTTGTTTAATATAATTGTATATATTATGTTGAGTTTGTTATGTAAGTTAATTGTTTTCTTTTATAAATAATGAGCAAAATTCATTGATGACATCGACCTTTTATCCATGTATTAATTTTATTTAAAATCTTTAAAAGTTATATTTATCATCTACGACTTTTATTAATATCTCATTTTCATCAATAATCTTTAAAAATTGCATTTGTCATCCACTACTTTTAATAATATTTCATTTCTATTCATGATCTTCAACAGTTTCTTATATCAATACTTGCAACCTTTAATAAAATTTTACCTTTCATTAATCCTTTAATTAAAAATTAAAAAAAAAACCCTCTGTCTTATTTTTTTATCCATCTTTATTTTTTGGAACGTTCTAAAATTATGTCTTATTTTTTGAACATTTAAAACTCTTACTTTTTATATTTTAAAATTATTTTTTATGATTTTTTTATTTTTTGACATTAAAAATCATGAAACTTTAATTTTATAAAAAAATTTTAAAATTTAATATTAAATATATTAAAGTCAAAACTTTTTTCTTAAAATTCATGAAAGTCAATACATGACAAATATTTTGAGACGAAGGGAATACCAAATATTTTCGCAAGCTTTAATTTTCAAGTCATGGTAAGGTCCACCAAAGAACTGTTAGCTTCATTATGAATCTAATTTATTTTCATCTTTGGCATTCTATTTATGTCTGTTAAACTTAGTAATTACTTGTGACTTTCATTGAAATATTATAGAATGTAATGTATTTTTGAAATATTTTTATATTGATATTTAATTTATATTGTTATATTATTGATATAATTTTTTTATATTTAACTTTAGTTTCCTTAAATTTATTTATGAAAAATATATATTTTTTCGTGGTGAAGTTAGTATTATTTTCCCGATTCTCATCAGCATTTTATGGGATTGCATTTATATACATGGCGTTAGAACTGTGTTTGGTAGAGGAAAAAGGAAATAAATAAAAGCTATTTCTTTTTATCATTTGTTTTGTTTTCATACGAAGAAAAAAAGCAGATGGAAAGAAAATGAGTGAACTTGCACATTTTCCTTTTCTTAAAATCGGAAGTGTATCATTTACAATTATTATAATATAATTATTTTTTCAATGAGGACTCCACAGAAGACAAAGTAAAAAATGAAAATTTAATATTTTAATAATTTTTTCCCAATGAGAGCCTAAAAAACAAAGTAAACTTTTAAGAATTTTTTCAAACGGGGCTCAAGCCCATAAAGCCTATGTAACAGATTCACCTTTATCCCATAAAAGACAAAAGTCAAACTTAAAACATTTTTTTCACCGGGGCTCAAGCCCCCAACTTGCCCTCGCTAAGGTCCGCCCTTGATTACTGGTGTGAATATATGAATTTGGTTTTTGATAGCAAAAAAATCTGATTTTCTATTGGTTTTAGTTTTAGTGCATTAATTGAAGGTAGTTGAAATTCTAATTTGTTTCACATCATTGTTTCTTACATTAATTTATGGTTTTGAAAATGAGATTGGTTTTTGATAATTACGTAATATGTATTAGGTTACTTTTAATGTTAGTGCTTTAATATTAGGTTGTTGAAATTTTTATTAACTTTTCGTGATTAAATCTAGATAAGATCGCCTTCATGTTCTGAACAAATGATTTATCAATTTTTTAAATTAGGGTTAGCTTTCCTAGCTCTATAATTTAACATCCCCAAACTAGGGTTAGGTTTTCGAACTAGTATATATAGATGATGGATGTGCTAGTGTGATAATGCACAAACACAACACCAACAAGGAAGAAGATTAACTAGAGAACACTAAAATGCCTCAAGTCACCACCAACGGTCAAATTCAAAATCTTACCGATTCAGATCTCAATCATGTGATTTCCAAAGATTGGCAAGGGCATGTTGTTGAGCAGTACATTAGCCCAATCCTGCCTAAGAGTACGGTCCCTTTTCAACATGTTGGAAATCAAAATGCTGGTTCGGAGGCAGCTGTTGTATATCGCATCAAAAATAAAGAAAACAAAAATTATATCGCAATTGTAGCTTGGTCAAACGACTCCAATTCTCCTAAGAAGGTATATAATAATAAAGATTTATATTTGATATATTATCATTATATAAATTTTATACATTGTTAGTCAATTGAATGATATTATGAGATAAATTAAATGATGATATTTTATTAATGAGTAAATTTTTTAAAAAATTAAATTTTTATATATTTATTTTAAAAATTAATATTAAATTATATCATTTTATTCACTAACAGTATATAAAATCTATACACTGTATTGAATATAAATGGTAATAATAATAGTAATAATGATCCTAAGTCTACCAAATTAACATGCACTTTACTTCTCAGTATTTTAAAGATTTTAAAACAAAGAAAAATTAAAGCTATGCATGATTACTTGTATAATGCAGGTCTATACATTGGTTGCTGTTCCACCCACGTCCTATACTGAAGATTATTGGCGAGTAATTAGTGATGATCTGCACAATTCCAGCAATAGCAGCTTTAGCATACTTGATGGTTGCACCTCAAAAGTTCAAATTGGAGATGGAGATTCCCCACCACTTTCAGCAGCAATAAGTTATGCTGATTAATTGGCTGAAGTAATAGGCTGTCAAAATTACTAAGTAAATAAAGTGCCTTGTGCACTAGCACTCTCAGACTATTAGAGTGAATTTGGCAGCCTGTAGACTATTACTGTGTTTACGTGTTTGTAATGTAATATTTTAGTTTTCTTATGGATCGCAAATCCCATGGGGAAATATCAAATATCAATAAAGAATTACACCCCTTGTTTGGTTTATAATTTTTTTTGCTTAGAAAAATTTTTCTAATTATTGAATATAAAATTTTATATATATTCAAAAAGCCAAATAAAATAATAAATATATAAAAAATAGCATAAATACATCATTTATTCTTTAAGGGATTATAAGAAATAGATTTCAAATTGTTATTAATTTTATTTTTCCAAATTATTATGTTTAGATTTGGTTGCAAGAAAAAAAAGGAACTTTTTTCACTTTGTACAAAAAAAAAAAATTAATTTTTTTATCAAGAAACATGTAATCTATTGATAAAGTATTAGACTCTTAATTTATGTGATTAAAATTCAATGCTTGATAACCTCAAACACAATATTATATATATATATATATCAATTTCCTTCTTTTAGTTTTTTTTACTCTTCAGGCTCACGTTGTCAGGGGAACAAATCATTTAAAATTATTGTATTATAATTAGTGAATAGATCATTTTAAATTAGTGTATTACAATTAGGCAATCATAATTCATAATTATGAGAGGTTTATCCAAATTTTACATGGAGTCTACACTTAAAATTATAAGTGATGGCCTCCACATAAATTTTTATTGTGATTAAATAATTATAGTACTCTAATAAAAATAATTTTGTTGGTGAAATGCTCCTTATTATTGCGAGTGTGTCAAAAACCAGTATTTTGTGGAAAATAAAAAAGAAACTAATTTTTCCAAATTGATTCAAATTCAAAAGCTAAACTTTTAATAATATGGCTAATCTAATTAGTAGAGCTGTTCATGGGTTGAGCTTAATATGATATTTCATCATTTTAAGCAAGTTTAGGTCGGGCTTGACTCGATTTTTTTAAGCCTTATTTTTTGTTCAAATGCAATCTTATATTTAATAATAAAATCCATTAAAAGCACTAATACTTAATTTAAAAAATATTTTTTAAATTATTAATTTAATTAATTTTAATTAAATTTATGAATTATTTGAACTTAGATCTAATTTAATTTTGTTAAAAATAATTTAAAATTAAATTATTATTTTAATATTTCACATAAAAAAATTACACTTTATCCTATTATAATAAATAAAGCACTAAACCCCTTCCTAGACTTTTAGTCAAATCTTACTTTCTGCAAACCCAACGGCTAAGCTCCTTTTCCTTTCCAGATCACTTTTTTTTTTTTTTTTGTCTCTATCATTTTCACTAGCGTTTTTTAACTTATCACAAAAACCCTAACTCTAACTTTAAAACCCACCAACCAACTTCTTCCAATGACGAAAGTCCACGAAACCGGCGTTTGTGACTTCAAACGCCGACGGGTGGCCGAGTATCCGGTCCAGTTCATCGACAAAGCAGACTCTAAACCTCCACTGGTTCACCCCTTCCCAGCTTTATTACTTTATCTGAAATCCATAATCACGAAAACTTAATTAGAAAACTATCAGCGGTATTCTGTTGGTTGTTGCATCAATTTAAGTGATTCTAGATTTAGTCATCCGTCATATAATGCTAGAATCATCGTATTTGACCATGCAATTTATCTAGAGGATGATTTAGGTAGTGAGAGCTTTAGGTTTTGAACTCTGCAAAATCATTCGGACATGTTGTGTCAATCATTTATGTGATTTAGTTAATGATAAAAACGCCACAACTGAATGAACCAACAATCTCATTTCTGGACCTACACTTGATCTTACTGAGGAACATGAATATGGAATTTATGTGTATTTTGATTCTATTGCGTTTCAGGTGTTTGTAACTTTTAAGTTAGATGTTTGCCATACAAGATGAGATTGTATATATGTTGTATAATGATGTATGGCATCTAGATAAGTGACTAGATGATTATAGTCCGATTGATTATTAATGGACTTACAATATTGAAAGGTACTCCATAGGCCACGTAGAAAGGTTTAAAGCCAATCTTGTGGCCCGAAACTTAAACGAAGAGAAAAAATTGGTTGCAAAGAATCTTTCTATCCTGTTTCTACCAATGATTTTTTTAGAATCTTCGCGGCATTGGTGACTCATTCGGTTAAGAGTTACATCAGTTAGACGTTAAGATGTCTAAATGGAGTAACTTGAAGGTTTTGTGGTTTTATGTTTGTTAATTTGAGAAGTCTATTTCTGGACTTCCAAGGCATTCATTCTGTGATATACGAAATTGATGAGATTGTCACTGTAAAAAAAATATTCGTGATCAATGTATATGTTAAGAGGTTAGTGGGAATGGGTGGCTATATACTTCGGGTGCTCTAAGTTGATGATATCTTATTAGCAGCTCTAAACACTGACCTATTGTTTGAGACAAGAACATTTTGTCATGTCACTTCAGGTAAAGAATCTAATTGAGACTCTCATTCTAGTCTGGAGATTGATATTCTTTGTGACAGATATAGAGGCATATTCGGTTGGTATTAGAAAACTTACATTCAGTTTGTGTTGAATAGGTTTTGATATGCACTATTTTCCTATTTAGGCACTTGTTGTAAAGAGTAACATGCGGTTAAAATCTCAATCCTCATGATGACAATGAAAGAGCTCATGTCGAATATTCAGTATGCCTCAACTGTCAACTGTGGGTAATTTGTATGCTCAAGTCCGTGCACATTTCTGGTGTTGTGTATACTGGAGGTGTAATTCGGAGGCACTTGAGCAATTCTGTTTTTAATCATCAGTAATCCAACATTTTGGCTTTAGCCAGATAATTGATCCTATTTCTATGTGCTTGTGAAGCCAATTTTGGTCCTATTGGCTAGACGAGTTATTTCTTGGAAAGTGTGAAACAAACACTTACAGTGCCCTCAATAATGGGTACGAAGCATGTAGCAAAATGTGAAGCTACACGTCAGATTGTTGGCTGTAAAATCTCATCTTATAGTTGGTTTTGTGGTTCCAATTTTGAAGTTGTTGGGGATGTTTCGTGGTAAATCTGTAGTAATAGCTTTCTCTCAAATACTAAGAGTTCCTCACGCTCCTAATAAATAGATATCATAATTTAGTTTATTAGAGGGAAAGTAATTGAATCCATTGGACCAAATTTTAGAGCACACAATTTCCAGAGCTCATTCAGATTGATACACTAATTAATTTTGGCTGTTAAAGTGTCTTGACAATATGACACTTATACAGGACTTGTAGAGCTTTCTGCTATATTGAGTTAGCAGAAGCTATGTGTGATAAAATCAGTTGCAATCATATCTTTGAGAACCATCTATGATATGGTTAAAGCTTGATGCTCGAACCTACACTTCAATGATTAAGGGGTTTTAAAGGAGGAGTGCCAGGTGACGCTTATGAATTATATGGGAAAATGGATGAGGGTGGTTGTTCGCCAAATAGTTCTTATAATACAATGATCCTGGGGTTTCTTGCAAACAATAATGTCTCAATTGCACAACAGCTTCTTAAAGAATGGTGGATAAGGGATTTTCTGCTGATATATCCACTGCGACCTTGTTAGTAGAGCTGCTGTCTGGTGTTGAAATAGACTGATGCTGAATGAAATGGTTCAGATCTATGCAAAGAAAGGTATGAATATAGAGAAAACTTATACTTAATTGAAGATTTGTGTAGTAGATCCCGATACCAACAAATCTTTCCTGAGGTAAGGGGTCTCGATTACTATTTTAGTTTCTATTATATCCTTTTTTTACATCTAGGACAAAAGCAATATTGCAAAACTTGATTATGAATTCTGGAGATAATATTTTAAGCTAGTTTTCTTTGTCTTTTTCCCAGGTCATCATAATGAAAATACAAGCACAAAATCAGTTGAATGGTCTACAAGTATCTGGAAAGCTTGTTATCATAAGCGAATCATCTTTGCAAAGAATTGAAAGAGATTACTGATCTTTTGCTTCTTCTTGTGTTAATAAATTAAAAAGCAATCTGTCTTTGCAAAGATTTGAAAGTAATTACTGATCTTCGGCTTCCTCTACTAGTTTAATTATTTCTGTTTCAATTATATGGGCTGAAAGAGACAAATATATATAAGCTTTTTGTGCTTTTCCAAATTTCATTGAGCTTGTACTCACGTATGATGTAAACGTGTTTGCTTACATTTTTGTGCTTTCTCCTTCATCCTTTTTTGCTCATTTTACTCATTTCTTCTATTCTTTCACCTGTCTTGGACACCCAATTTGTTCACTAATTGTTTGGAATTTTTACTCTATCTTGTTTAATTTTTCTCTTTTATTGTTAAAAGATGAATTATAATGTTTTATTTCCAAGGTCTATCCTTCTACTTTAACAATGATATTGGGAGAATTTTCTGTCACTGATAGTGTAGCTTTTGTGCAACCAGATATGAAATGTTTCTAAATTAAACAATTAGTCTTTTGTGAAAATGACTGATTGCTTTTCTAATATTGTAACCTTATTTTTTAGTTGAGTTCTTGGATCTAAAGGAAGATGGTGCTATAAATTTTAGAAAAAAATGGATTCATGAATTTGGGAATAGCTAGAACTGATTCATTTACAAAATTGAGCCCTATAATGCAATAACCTCTAGTACTAGTTGTTGTGACTTAGATTTTCTTCCTTTGATCTTCTTTTGACATTAATAACTTGATTGCATAATCATTATATTAAAAAGGAAATGATATAGGACATTGAAGTTTCTTCATGCTTATTGAATTGCTTTGCTATGTTTGAGATTTTGTTAAAGATCCACAATTTGGCTGGACATTATGTGCTTAAATTTAGGTAATTTATTGTATTTGTGATGCAGAGTATTTACTGTTTCTATATTCTGGATATGTTTGTACAAATGGATTACAGATGATTAAGTATGCAAGCACACACAGCATGTGCAATGTAATGAACCAAAATTTCATCCAAAGTATCAAAGAAAGTTGGATCACATACGTACAACCATTAATTGCACTAGAAGCATAAGGGTGCAGATAAATCTTCCTTAAACATACTTTCCACATCTACATGGGTTCTAATTAACAACAATACAACTTAACCATCTTTTTTGCTCCCCTACTGCTAATGGATTGCAACTGTTTGTTGACT